TCCATCTATCTGGTCCAGGGATTTTTTTTGGTTGGTAGGTTTTTAAAAATTGCTGTTTAAATTTCATAACTCATGACTGGCTTGATCAGGGTTGACATTTCTTCCTGTTTAAATCTTGAAAGGTTCTGTGTTTCCTGGAATGTATGCATTTCCTCTAGATTTTATAGTCTATGCACATAGAGATGCACATAGTGATCTCTGATAATCTTTTGTATTTCCAGGCAATTGGTTGTAATGTCACCTCTTTCATCTCTGATTATACTTATGTGAATCTTCTCTCTCCCTGTTTTTGTAATCTGGCCAGCAGTCTATAAATCTTGTTTATTCTTTCAAAGGACCAGTTGTTTATTTCATTGATCCCTTGTATGCTTTAAAATTTCAATTTCATTTAGTTCTGCTCTGATATTTATTCTCTCTTTTCTTCTGCTAACTTGTTTGTTCTTGTTTTTATAGTTCCTTTACATGGGACATTAGGTTGTTTTTGAGATCTTTCTATCCTCTTGATGTGAATGTTTAGTGCTATAAACCTTCCTCTTAACAGTTCTTGCAGCATTCCAGTGGTTTTCGTATGCTCTATCTCTATTTTCATTTGTTTCAAATAATTTTTAAACTTCTACCTAGATATTGTTGTTTACCCAAAAGTCATTCAGGAGCAGGTTCCCATGAATTTGTGAGATTTTTAAAAAGTTCCTCTTGGTATTGATTTATTTCTATTCCACTATAGTAGAGATATTTGCTATGATTATGATTTTTTAAAAATTTATTAAGACTTTTAAATTACTGAGCATGTATTCAATCTTAGAATATGATCCATGTGCAAAAGAAAGTATATTTTGTGACTGTTGGGTGAAGTATTCTGTCTATTATGTCACATTTCTCAAGTTTCAAATTTAAGTCCAGAATTTGTTAGTTTTATGCCTCAATGATCTGTCTAAAGTTGTTATTGGGGGTGTTAAAGTACTTTACTATTACTGTGCTGCTAATTCATCTCCTAAGTCTAGTAGTAACTGTTTTCTAAATCTGGGTGCTCCAGTATTGGGTGCATATATATTTAGGATAGTTAAGACTTCTTGCTATGTCATTATATAATGTCCTTCATTGTACTTTTCTTACTGTTTTTGGTTTAAAGTCTACTTTATTTGATAAATGAATGGCAACCCCTGCTCTTGTTTTCCATTTGCCTGGGAGATCTTTCTCCATCTCTTTACCTTGAGCCTGTGGGTGTCATTAGAAGTGAGATGGGTCTCCTGCAGACAACAGAAGAATGGGTTTTAAATTCAATTTGTCATTCTATGGTTTTTATGTAGGACATTTAGTCTGTTGACATTCAAGGTTACTGTTGATATGTGAAGTTTTGCTCCTGTCATAGTGTTGTTAGCTATTTACTTTGTAATATCAGTTTTGTGATTGTTTTGTAGGGTCTGGGGGCTAAGTGCTTACATGCACTTTTGTGTTAGGATTATCATTCTTTTGTTTCCATGATTAGAACTCTCTCAAACATCTTTTGTAGGACTAGTCTGGTGGTGGTGAATTCCCTTAGTGACTGTCTAAGAAAGACTGTATTTCTTCTTTGTTTATAAGTTCTTGACTGATATCTCTTTTCATTAAGAATACTAAAAATGGGCCCTCAATCTTTTCTGGCTCATAAAGTTTCTACTGAAAGGTATACGGTGAATCTGACTGATCTCTTTTGATTGGTGATCTGGCACTTTTCTATCTGCCTTTGTGATTTTTTTTCTTTCATATTGAACTTGGATTGTCTGATGACTATGTGCCTTGGGGATGGTTGGCTCATTTAATATCATGCAGGAGTTCTCTGAATTTCTTGTATTTTCATGTTGACCTCTCTAGCAAGAGTGGGAATGTTTTATCAAATTATGTCATCAAATATTTTTTCAATTCTCTTCTTTCTCAGAATGTCAATCAGACATAGGATTGGTCTCATATCTAGCTTTTTTTGTGTCTGGAGTTCTTGTCCTGGTTACTTCTCACTTGGGAGAGGTGGCTCTTCTTTGTTTTTAATTTGCTATCACTGGGATAGAGCTTTTTGAGATTTTCTTCTTTTTTCCCTTGTGGGTATAATAGATGTATGTTGTGTATGGTCTCATGCAGCAGTCCCCAACATTTATGGAATCAGGGACTGGTTCTGTGGAAGACAATTTTCCCATGGCTGGGGGCGAGGGGGAGGGTGATCAGGCATTAGATTTTTATAGGGAGTGTGCAACCTAGATCTCTTGCATGTAGAGTTCACAAAAGTGTTCATGCTTCTATGAGAATCTAATGCCACCACTGATCTGACAGAACATAGAGCTCCTGTTGCCCACTACTCACTTTCTGCTGTGCTGCCTGGTTCCTTACAGGCTACAGACCTGTACTGGGAGTGGGCTAACCTCATGGTGCTGGTGGGAAGTCTTAACTGGCAGGAAGCTGCAGGGGCAGGGGTCCTTCACATCTATTCTAGGGACACATGGAAGCAATCCTTCTCTCTACTCCTTCCTTGTCTTGAGTGGCAGGGGCAGAGGCAGCAGTGTTGGTGTTTGGAGTAGGTTGTTGCTGTGACCTGTGGAGCTGGGTTCTCAGAGGAATGTTTAGTAATAACCACAGTGTTCAGGCAAGGCTGGGGTGACTGCTCCATACTGGGAATTTGCCACAGTAGCAGAGAATTCCCTACTGGCCAGGAACAGTGGAACTGCCACTCCTCCCTGTTTCCTCTCTTGCCCAAATGTGGCAAGGGTAAAGGCATCAGTGGCAGAGGCTCTAATGGGCCTAATGACAGTCTCTGGAAGCTGACAGCCTCTGTGTGTCAAGCCAAAGCTGCAGTGTTTGGGTAGAGATGGGGTAGGTACAGGGGTGCCTGTTTTTGAAGTGGTCAGAGCCCTTTTGGTGGAAAACAGCAAAGACAGGGGCTGCACAGTGAATTCTCCAGTGGTTCATTTCTTCTGTGGTTGTGGTGCTGTAATAGAAGTGAATGAAAGCACCTGGCCTTCTTCCTTGGTGGGGCAGTGGTATTCAGTGCTGGACTGCTCAGGAAATAAGAGTCTGCTGGGTTTCATGTGGGTTTGAGTGTTGCCTCTGTTCAGACTCCAGGTAGCTCCCTTCATCTGTGGAGACCAGTGAGGCTCAAGGGGGCACTCCTGTGACTAGAGTTTCAATGGTCAGTATACCATATTTTCTTTATTCATTCATTTGTTGATGGATGCTTAAGGTGTTTCCACACAATAATCATGGGAGTCCAGGTATGTCTGATATACCGATTCCCATTCTTTTGGATATATTCCTAGCAGTGGAATTGTTGAATTATATGGTATTTCTATTTTTAGTTTTTTGAAAATCCTCCATACTGTTTTCCATAGTGGCTGTATACTTTCCATTCCTACTAACAGTGTATAAATATAACCAAATAAGTGAAAGATCTCTACAATGAAAACTATAAAACACCAGTGAAATAAAATGAAGAGGACACAAAAAAATGGAATGACATCCCATGATCGTGGACTGTAAGAATTAATATTGTTACTATGTCCATACTACACCAAGCAATCTGCAGATTCAGTGCAATTTCTATCAAAATACCCATGACATTCTTTACAGAAATACAGAAAAGAATCCTAAAATATGTATGAAACCCTAAAAGATACCAAATAGTCAAAGCCATTCTGAGAAAAACAAAACAAAAACAACAAAACCCCGAAGGTGCAGGCAACACACTTTCTGACTTCAAGTTATATATTATAAAGGTATTTAACCAAAACATTATGACACTGGCACAAAAACAGACTCTTGCTTTTCTTAGTGAATTGTCAGATTTTCTTGAATAGATGTTTTTCAATTTGTTGCTTTCTCTTAGGATCATTTGCAAAGGGTTTAAATGGTTGTTGGTTTTTTTTTCTTTTTCTTTTTTTAAGTTTTAGCCAGTTTCACTGGGAAGCAGATCAGTGGAGTGCCTTATGCTACCATCCTGGAAGATAATCTCCTGTACATTCAATCTTGGTTTGTTTTTTTGAGTGATTAATTTCTTAAAGGTCTTGAGCCATGTTAAAGTGTCTGAAGAACTACAGCATCCGTTATTTTATACCTTAACAACATATTATGTCCACTGAACTTGCCTTATATTACAAAGTTTTACTTTTAAGAAACAGAAGATACTCTTTTGAGTTAATAATTTATGCCTATAATTGATTTTACTTTATTTATGAGTGTTAAAAGCTGTCATCCTTTTACTAATAAAATGTGGGCAGGCACAGAGGCTCATGCCTGTAATCCCAGCACTTTGGGAAGTTCAAGGCAGGAGGATTGCTTGAGGTCAGGATTTCAAGCCCAGCCTGGGCAATATTCCGAGACCTCATCTCTACAGAAAATACAAATTTAGTCTGGCCTGGTGTTATGCACCCGTAGTCTTAGGTATTCAAGAGGCTGAAGTGAGAGAATTCCTTGAGTCTAAGAGTTTGAGGCTGCAGTGAGCTATGGTTGTACCATGGCATTCCATCCTGGATGTTAGAGCAAGATGCTGTCTCAATAAAATAAAAATAAAATAAAATAGAATAAACAAAGCATATAAGGAGAACTGTGGAAAACTTTAAAGTAGGGTTGGACCTAAAGTGTCCTCTAGTTAGGCATAGAGCTAGGATTACAACCCAAGTGTCTAGATGCTTGGTTTGTGACATTTCTAGTTAAATATCATGACTACTAAACAGCAATGAATTGATTATGCATGTTTCAGAGTTCACAAATCACTCTAGGCAGTATACTATTATTTTATTCACAGACAAGGAAATTGCAATTCAACCTCAAGCATGAAGGAAAAATGACTCACATGCTTATCTGACTCGAATATCCATTTTTTTCTTGTATATAAAGCTTCAAAAGAAGTATCTAAGTTGAAGCACAAACCTACAACTAAGAGTGTTACCTTATACTAACAATGACAGCATTAATTCAGAGCCATAAAATGAACTAGGAATACTGACACTTGGTGCAAGATTTTCAAACCATATTCTCACCCCGAACTTGTCACTTCTGATCTGATGCTTGCTTCTTCTTTATTTTCATTTTCCCTTCTGCTTGATCATCCAGACTTTCTATGCCTCCTACGTTCCATAACAATAGAGTCAGTAAGGCAGTTGCAGTTGTGGGAGTTTGGTGTCAAGTCAGAAAGCATGCTCTGGGTTTCTTGATGATCCCTACTGGAGCCACCTCCCTGGTCCCCAAGACCTTTCTCTACCTGGAGAACCAAAATATTAAAACACATTGTAGTCAGAAAAAAGAACACTTTGAGACTCAGCATAGTTTTTTGAAATGTCAGACAAAAATAACTATGTGAATACACTAAGAAAGAAAGTGGCCTAAACCTAATCGGTTAAGTGTATTTGCCTACTCTTATCTCACCTTGTTATACAACCAGATAGTAATATACAGTTTGAGAAATACTTTAAAAAACAACTAAAAATGGCTAAATAAAAAGTAATCTTACTTGCCCATACATATGGATTCTTCCTTTACCCTACCTCAATATTTGAAGTATTTGAGTCATGTAGACTCTGGCTCAAATTCAGATTCTACCACTTGCTAATTTATGTGATCTATATTTTTAGGCTTCTATTTAACAAATAGGAGTAATAAAATTTACACCAAAGGGTTCTCATAAAAATAATATATGATAATGTATATGAAGGAACTAGCACACTGACTAGACTATATTACTCAGTAGATGTACTTTCTCTTGAGGAAATTAATAACCATGAAACTCAAAGATCAATTCAGTCTATTCCATGGTATTGATTTAACACGGGGAAAAGTTCAGAAAATACAAACCAGTGAGGATTACAATGATCAGGAAAATCTTTCTGAAAAAGGTAAGGCTTGAGTTGGCTTCAAGGGAGAAGGGTTTAGTCAGGGTTTTCCAGAGAAACAGATGTCTCCATCTATCTATCTATCTATCTATCTATCTATCTATCTATCTATCTATCTATCTATCATCTATCTATCCTCTGAGAGAGACAGAGAGAGAGAGAGAGAGAGAGAGAGAGAGAGAGAGAAAGAGAGATAAAGTGAGAGAGGGAGAAAGGGAGGCAGAGAGAGAACTGATGGTGTAAATTCTAATCTGAAGTTGAACTCAAGAATCAGGAGCACCGATGGTCTAAATTCCAGTTTGAGGGGAGAAAAAAACCGTCCCATCTTAACAGTCAGGAAGACAAAGCAAAAATCTCCCTTTCTCTGCCTTTTTGTTTAATTCAAGTCTTCAATGAATTAGATGATGTCCACCCATATTGGAAAAGGCAATCTGTTCTATTCAGTTTACAGATTCAAATGCTAATCTCATGTGGAAACATCCTCACAGACACATAGAAAAAAGTATTTAATCAAATATATAGGCATCTCATGACCAAAACAAATTGACTCATAAAATCTACCGTGACAAGTCTACACCTACGTCAATTTGGTACCCATAGACATCTTAAACCATATTTACTCTCCAAATATAGACAACAAAAATGTCATAATTCTACCTAACAACTATCCTGCATACAACTAAAAATGAACTAATAACTTCTCCAGAAGATGTGGTAAAGTTCTTGAGTCATGTTTATTCTTCTCCTTGATATCTTGCTATTTCAATATTATGAGATAAAATTACCCAAGGAAATAATATAATGTAAATTGCCCAATATTTAAATATTATGGTAATAAGCAAATACATCTTGTCTTACATAATAAGGAATTAAGAGAGGGAGAAAAATAAAGATACTTGTTATGCATACACATAAAATACATATTTATATATAATATATACTTATGTGTATAAATATACACACATAAACAGATATAGTCGTAATAACATAAGGAGAAATACAGCAGTCCACCTTATCTGCCGGGGATAGATTCCAAGACAACCAGTGGATGTCTGAAACTGCAGATAGTACTGAACCCTGTATATACTAAATTTTTTTCCTATATATGCACACTTCTGACAAAATTTAATTTATAAATTAGGCATAGTAAGAGGTTAACAACAAAAACTAATAATTATTAGTAAAGTATCATTATGGAAAATAATGGTTACTTGAACACAGTACTGGAAAATCCTGCCAGTTGATCTAATAACCAAGATGGCTAATGAATGGGTAGTATATATAGCATAAATATGCTGGACAAAGGATGATTTACATCTTGGGCAGGATGGAGCGAGATTTCATCACACTATTTAAAACAATATAAAAATTAGAACTTACTATTTATTTCTGGAAATTTCCACTTAATATTTTTGGACCATGGTTGACCACAAGAATGGAAACATGGATTAAGGGGGTTAAACCTATAAAAGTGAAACCATGAAGCCGGGCTCGGTGGCTCAGCCTGTAATCCCATGCCTTTGGGAGGCTGAGGTGAGTGAATTGCCTGAGTCCGCGGGTTCGAGACCCGCCTGGGCAGCGAGACCTCATCTCTACAATAAATCAAAAAATCAGCCGGGCGTGGTAGCACACACCTGTAATTCCAGCTACTCGGAAGGCTGAGGCGGAAGGATCGCCGGAGCCCAGCAGGTGGAGGCTGCGGTGGCTGGGAGCGGCCACTGCACTCCCGTCTGGGCAACAGAGTGAGACTCCAACTCAAAAAAAAAAAAAAAAAAAAAGTGAAACCATGAATAAAGGGGAACTACTGTATTCATAACAATTATAACTCTCATTTCTATAACTGATCATATCAACATCTATCATCAAAGCTGGTAGTTATCTATCATCAAAGCTGGTAGCTATCTTCTTCTGCTACCCATTCTGTAGTCCCTTTGTCTACACGATCAAACTGGTCGTGGTCCCGTAACAGGTGGAGTGACTTAAACATTCATTCCTTAAGAGTCTAGGCCAGCCGGGCTCGGTGGCTCAGCCTGTAATCCCGCGCCTTTGGGAGGCTGAGGTGAGTGGATTGCCTGAGCCCGTGGGTTCGAGACCCGCCTGGGAAGGCGAGACCTCATCTCTACAATAAATCAAAAAATTAGCCGGGCGTGGTAGTGCATGCCTGTAGTTCCAGCTACTTGGAAGGCTGAGGCGGAAGGATCGCCGGAGCCCAGCGCGTCGAGGCTGTGGTGGCTGGGAGCGGCCACTGCACTCCAGTCTGGGCGACAGAGTGAGACTCCAACTCAAAAAAAAAAAAAAAAAAAGAGTCTAGGCCATTAGTAGTCCTTACTTGATTGGGTTGCTGTAGTTTGCCATTGAGCTTAACACAGGGCATGATAATACTAAGAGACACCCTAATGGATCCTCTGTATTCTGGCAATACTTTTCCTTGCTACCATTATACAGTGCAGCTCATTTGTTCTTTGGTAGTCCAGTCAGAACAATACTCCTTTATTTACTTGTTGACTCAGAGACATTAAAAATCCAAAGTGAATGAGTGGTAGTTTTAATTTTCAGTCCAAAAGAATTATTGCTGTGTCTCCTGATGGAAGCATTCTTCTCTCAGGAATGAAGATTTCCAGGCCAGCAGAGTATAAGGTCTCAGGTACATGAAACAAAAAGTTTTCTAGTGGGTCACTAGGGGGTAATAGTGAGTGGTATCTTGATACCTGAACCCATGAATCCTGGCTATGGGAGAAACAGCATTATATATTGGATGCTGATTCTGAGTATATATAGTCCTTCAGAGAACCTTGTCCTAGCCCTGAAAGGTATTGTCACCTAGGTGACACTGTAAATAAGTCTCCAAAATGCCATTCCACCATTCTATCAAACCAGCTGCTTCAGGATGTTGAGGAGAAAGGTAAGACATGAGAATTTCATGAACGCAGGCATATCGTCACACTTTTTTTGCTGTGAAGCAAGTTTCAATTTTTTTAATTTTAAAGATGGGTACAATTCAGGATTAGATTTACAAGTGTTCATCACACAGGTAAAGTCTGGACCTCTCTTTGGCCCCATTTTGCCTGGTTTGAGATTAAGTACCTTTATTGATGTTGTGCCCCACCCCAGCAGGATCCTGCTACTGTCAATTCCTTTCTTATAGTATTATGGTCATTATTCAAGATCTGCTTATGAGTGAGAATATGTGGTCCTCTGTTCTTTGTTTCTGTGACAGATCACTGAGTAGGATAGACTCTAAATCCATCGAAGTTGCCGTGAAGTCCATACATTTGTTCTTTATGACTGTAATGTTCCATTGTGTATAGGTACCACATCTTTTTTATCCAGTCCAGTTTCAATGGGCAGAATGGTTGGTTCCATGCTTTTGGTATTGTGAGTAGTTCTGCAATAAGCATGAGTGTGCAGGTATCTTTTTTGTAGAATGATTGGAGTTCCTCTGGGTATATTCCCAGTAGGGGGATTACTGGGTCATATGGAAGGTCAATTTCTAGTTCTTTCAGAAATCATCACACTTTTTTTCAAAGAGGTTGCACTAGTTTGCATTCCCATCAGCAATGTAGAAGCAATCCTTTTTCTCTGCATCTCACCAGCATCGGTTGTTGTATGTTTTATTAATGATGGCCATTCTTCCTGGGGTTAGGTACTATTACAATGTGGTTTTGATTTGCATTTCTCTGATGATTAGTGAGACTGAGCACTTTTTCATTTGTCTGTTGGCTGCTTGTATATCTTCTTTTTGAGAAGTGTTTATTCATGTTCTTTGCCCATTTTTAAATGGGTTGTTTTTTTTTTTTCTTTCAGCACTTTTGAATTTCTTGTAGATTCTGAATATAGGCATTTGTCAGATATACAGTTGGCAAATATTTATTCCAATTCTGTGGGCTGGTTTCCCTGATCTTTTGATGGTATCTTTTGCTTTGCTGAAGCTTTTCAGTTTGATGAGGTCCCACTTGTCTATGTTGCCTCTTATGTCATGGGCACTTGGGGTTTTAATCAGGATTTGGATGCCAGTTCCAATTTCCATAAGTGTGTCTCCTGCATTTTCTAAGCTTCTTATAGTTTGAGGTTTTACATTTAGGTCTTTGATTCACTTAGAGTTGATTTTTGTGTGTGGTGATAGGTAGAGGTCCTCTTTCAATCTTCTGCATGTGGTCAGCCAGTTTTCTCAGCATCGTTTACTGAACAGGTTCTCCTCTCGCCAGTGGTTGTTGTTGGAGGCTTTATCACAGATGAGTTGGTTGAGAAATTAAGATTTTGCTTCCAAAATTTCTATCTTGTTCCATTGGTTGATGTGCCTTTTTTTGTACCAATACCAGGCTGTTTTGATTAT